CTCAGAACTGATTCCTCACCAACCATGTTTTGAGTTTTGATTTAAATAAACTAAACGTAGTCTGGTCTCTGATTGGAGATGGGATTGAGTTCCATTGCTGAGCAGCTTTAACAGAAAATGAAGACTGACTGAAAGAACTTTTTCTGAGTGGAATAATGCAATCTGCTCTCGCTGCACCTCTTGTTATCCTAGTTGCAGTTGTGCGTATGTTAATAAACTGTCTAAGAGGAGCTGAGGTAAGGCATGTTTAATGAGGTTTTCCCAAATCAACAAGTTGTATTTTTTGAGTATTGGGCAGTGATGTGAATAAACAGATTTGTTGTCCAGTATTTTGAGTGTTTGTGTGTACAATGACTCCAGTGGTTTTAATGTTGTTGTACTGGCATGTGACCAGGTCGTTAAACTGATTCACTGACTGAGGCGCCGTTTACACGAGGAGAAAACTGCTTGTATCTGCATAGTTTCGCGTGCGTATAGCCCTATTATTTACACAAGGCCGATAGAAACTGACCCTACAAACGATAACGGGTCCCAAGGTGGATAGATTTGCAAACGAAACGCTCTGGGGGGTCAACCGAGTCCGTGTAATCACCTCTATACGAATATTTCCTGAAAAAATAGCGGAAAAAAAAAAAAATAGCACCTCTCCTGCTCATTGCTGTAGCAACTATCAAAAATAGCTGTGTTAATTAAACGCACAAGGGGTTCTTGAATGAAATAATATTATAAAAGGCAAACCAGAATTGTTAACGCCCAATATACTCCTTAAACAAAAATAAACAGAGTCAGATTTCATGCATTGATCCATTATATTGACAAAGGTGCATCTCACCCGGTGTTTGTAGAGAATATCTCTCTTTCTGAGCCGTCCTCTCGATGCAATATCCACAGAGACGTGCTTCTTGGTTTCTTTCAGTTAACTTCCCCGTTGCATTTATCCATATGCTGAGGAAATGACTATATCCCGCTGAATACCAGCAATCGCCACACACACTGACTTCCTCCTGTCAGTAGCTACTGCTAGTGCTACTGCTACTGACCATGCTACAGATATTAGTGCAAAAATATACAGCTCCTCTACCACAACCATCAGCAACAACAGATTCGGTTTCTTTCAGTTTCTTTCAGTTTCAGTTTCAGTTTCAGGGCTTAAACAGAAGGGTAGCCATGGCAACATTGCTGCGGGCTGCTCCAGGCTGCTCTTCTTCGTGGCTTTTGGTGTATTTTGGCGGAAGTTACAGCGCCACTTACAGTCCCAGCATATGTACTACAGCGTTTCCAGCGGCCTCGTTTAAACAGACACGTTAAATGAAACAAATGCATGTGAACGGAAGACTTTTTTGAATACGCATACTGTGCATAAACGCAAACGGTCCCGTGTGAGCGGGGCCTGAGTTAAACATTTGAACCTGCAGATGTGAATCAAAGGCAGTACATGTGTTTGTATGGTAGTGCACAATTGTTAATATATTTCAAATGATCAAGCAGGTAAACTACATTACTGTATCATCACAAACTATTGATGTTTATCAGAGAGAGACTCCCTCAGGTGGATGCTGTGCAGTACTGTGTTGTCTTTGCTCCAAAGGTTTTGGACAGAGTGTTGGTGTTTCCTGTCACTGTGGGCTTCACAGCACAGTAGTAGGAGACCAGGGACAGTTGCAACACTTTTTGGGCTTTTCCCCAATAAGTAAAAAACCATTTACAATAGGATAGCCATTTTGCTATATTATACATTATCAATATGTCAGCTACTGAAACAATGTATTTAAGATGTTTTTATGAAATAAGTACAGGTTGGGAAATGTATTGTTAAAAAAAACCTCAACAGTTACAACTGTCCTTGTGTACAGGGACAGTTGTAGCACATGCCAGGCACAGTTGTAACATGTTAATAACGGTTACCTTTTTTCACACTACATGACAACAAATAGGGAAAGCTATCAAATTCTAAGGCAACAAGATTTGAATGGGGTTTCACACATCCTCCAACAAACAATGAACAATGAACAGGATAACAGATAACACACACAGCATCATCCTCTGTGAAGGATTAAACTGTTCTCTGAGAGGTGCTTCTACCTTAATTATGTAGATCTACCTCCTTTGAGCTGAGACCATAGTATAAATCAGCTGCCTCCAGATAGTCTCTCAAAAGCATCTCCTGCTCTGTTGAACACCTTCTTTGGTGTCCAGTAGCCTACTCTTGGGGGTGTTTGTGATCCCTGACTCTCCAACCTCAGCCTCTTTGTATGGAACCGGTACAGGGTGACATGGCATATATCCAGGGACTTTGCCACTTCCCTGAATGATTTGCCCTTCTCAACTTCATTTGAGGCCCTCTGCAGCAGAGCAAGTGGCACTCCCCTGTCTGTCTTCCTCTTTCTGACATTTGGCATACTGTAAACACACACACACACACTTTAGGCCTACTGTACAGTATTTTATTCTGTTTATTTTTACAGGGACAATGCACACCAATCAACAATACAACTGTATGCTTGAATGAACAATTGATCATTCAAGCAAATGAGCCATCCTTGTAAATGTGCCATGTTACAACCGTCCCGTTACAACCGTCCCAGGACCACCAGTCTTGCTTTCACCCCCTGTGAACCTGCCTGATTGCTAGCTTGACCCATATTTAGCTAGTTATATTTGTAGCTTACAAAACAGTGATTCTAATAATACTAGTTTGGATTCCTAGACATTTGAACTCAAGACAGTATCCAAAAAATACATCATATAATTTTAGTTAATATTTTACCTCAGAAACACTTTTGCTGATATCTTACGCGAGAAATTCAAACGTGGCTCCTTTTTTTCTCAGCGATCTTACCATCTATCTGAGCATGTGCAGACTGAGTTTCATCACTCTAGCTTGTTTGTGATTGGAGATATTGAAGGTGTTACAACCGACCCGTGTTGCAAATGTCCCTGGTCTCCCCTACACAGCAGAGTCTGTCACTGCAGCAGAGGAGATCTGCAGATCCACTCGTTTCTTTCCTTCAGACAGGTCAGTGAAGAACCTGGTGTCCGATTCAAGTGATTCTGCTTTGTTTGTGAAATGAACCCCTGAGATAGACAGGAGGAACTCTGGTGGTTCTCCTGGATATTGTCGATACCAGAAGAAATAATCACCACCGGCTGCTTGTTTGGAGTATCTGTAGGACAGAGTAACAGTGCTGCCTTCTGGACTGAACTCTTCTGTTTTGACTGGAGTCAGATCTTCACAGGTGACGCCTAAGGGAAAGATTAACTCTGTTATTTCATGTTATAAAAGTAATTTTAGCAAAACCACACTCAGAAAGCAAGAGTGCAACAAACCTGATAAGATTGCAAAACATATCAGAGAAAAAGCTGAGTTCTGCAGGGACAGCATGTTGAATGAAGGTGATGATGATGGTCTGTGTTGAACTCTGGTGAATATGGAAGTTCCTCTCTCTTCTATAGTTCAGGAACATCTTAGCTCCTCCCTGAATCTCTCTGTCTCCTCTTAGATCTGTATTTCACTTCTCTCAGTTTCTTTTTTCATGTTATCACGTGTGTGTCGTCTGCATAGCTATGGTAACTTATTTCATTGTTATCCATTAACTAAGCTAGTGGAAGCATGTAGATGTTAAAGAGAAGAGTCCCCAGGATGGAGCCTTGAGGAACGCCACATGTCATATTCGTCAACTCAGTTGTTTAGTTACCTATAGAAACAACGTTTTTCCTGTCTGTTAAGTAGCATTCAGACCAATACAAACAGTGCCAGAGTCCCACCCAGTTTTCCAGTCGGTCTAGTAATATGTTGTGGTCAACAGTTTAAAATGCAGCGCTGAGAACTAATAATACTGACAGTGAGATTCTGCCACTGTCTGTGTTTAAGCGGATTAAAACGTTAATTAGAGCAGTCTCAGTGCTGTGTGACTGGAACACATCAAAACAGTTATTTAGTGCCAAAACAGCTTTTTAGCTGTTGAACTTTTTTATTATTTTACCCGGCCTATAAATGTTCATCAGTGAAGCGCCTAGGTTGTTCTTTAAGAGTGGTTTGAAGACTGCAGTTTTGAGGGCCTGTGGGAATAAATATGAATAACAGGAAGTGTTGGTGAAGGTCCATCAGGAGTCTGGCACATGGTGGAATGCTCTCATTAAAAAGTATTAGGATAAATGTGAGAGATAAATTAAAGTAGCGTGGTGTTGAAGCATCAAATAAAAGATGCCTCTCTGCTGGGGGTTGAGTTGTTTGAGCATTAGTTGTGTTGTTTCCCTAAAGTCTAACAGAGAGAGACTCCCTCTGGTGGATGCTGTGCAGGATTGTGTTGTCTTTGCTCCAAAGGTTTTTGTACAGAGTGTTGGTGTTTCCTGTCACTGTGGGCTGCAGAGCACAGTAGTACACAGCAGAGTCTGTCACTGCAGCAGAGGAGATCTGCAGATCCACTTGATTTCTCTCCAAGTTCAGTGTGGCATTCAGTCGAGGGATTGGAGGTTTTGCTTCCACCACGTAAGGCTGTGTTATGTCAGTGATCAGGAGGAGGAACTGAGGAGCTGATCCAGGATCCTGTCTGTACCACTGGAGGTTATCAGCTTTAACTGAATATGTACAGGACAGAGTAACACTACGGCCCTCTGAGGAACACACTTCAGCACTGATGGCAGTAATATCATCTTCCAAGCTGTTACCTAGTGAGGAAAACATCATGCTATCATTACAGCTCCAAAGTCACAAACCCATCAATTCCTTAGTGAAAAAACAACACTCCTGTAAAGCGTTTATCCAAAATCCAAAGTGGATGTGTAATGCTTTGAAAAAGTCTTCATATTTCCCCTTCTCCTGTCAGAAACATACGTACCTATGAGAGCTGAACAGAGCAGAATTGCAGCCAGTTTCTCCATGTTCACAGAGGGGAAAGCTGTGGTTGTTCAGTATGGAAACGTTTAGTGAGTTGTGTTTGGTCTGATGTTCACAGCTGGAATCAGAGAGGTGTCAGTCATGAAGCTCTGCAGTCAGCAGGAGGAGACTCAGATGTCCAATGAGTTTCTGGAGCTCTTCATCACAGCTGTGAGTCTGAGAGAATCTAATCTAGACTGTCTCATCACATCCTGCTGAAGGTGAACAGAGAGAGACTCCCTCTGGTGGATGTAGTGCAGTACTGTGTTGTCTTTGCTCCAAAGGTTTTTGTACAGAGTGTTGGTGTTTCCTGTCACTGTGGGCTTCACAGCACAGTAGTACACAGCATAATCTGTCAATGCAGCAGAGGAGATGCTCAGATAGACCTGGGTTTTATCCTCACTCACTTCAGCAGACAGTCCAGAAACTGGATTCAACATAATGTTTCCAGTTCCTAAATGAGAGATGAACTCTGGTGGTTTTCCTGGATATTGTCGATACCAGAAGAAACCATCACCACCAGCTGCTTGTTTGGAGTATCTGTAGGACAGAGTAACAGAGCTGCCTTCTGGACTGAACTCTTCTTTCTGTAATGCAGTGAGATCTTCACAGCTGACCCCTGAAGAGAGGAGTAATTCAAAAGACTCAGTTAATAGATCACATTTTATCAACATTAGAAGTTAACGTTTTCATGCAGAATGTTACGTACCTCTTAGAATGGAAACTAACAGTAGGGAATGTAAATAATAGTCTAATGACAGCATGTTGAATGAAGGTGATGATGATGATGGTCTGTGTTGAACTCTGGTGAATATGGAAGTTCCTCTCTCTTCTATAGTTCAGGAACATCTTAGCTCCTCCCTGAATCTCTCTGTCTCCTCTTAGATCTGTATTTCACTTCTCTCAGTTACACTTCCTCCTGGGTAACAGATCCAAAGGTCTGTAAATAAAAAGTCAGAGGACCTAGGATTGAACCCTGTGGTACACCACGAGTAATCACAGACCAAAAGAGAATTGTAATGTATAAAGATAAGAACAAAAGCAATCAAATCTTGAGTGTGTGATGTGTACCAGTTTATTGAGAGAGGTGATTTAAAGTGTTTGATCAGACAGTAAAGAAGGAAAACGTGGCAATAACAATGACGGGACGTGAAGTCAGATTAGTGAGAGGTGTTTCATCTAGAGAGAAATCTGTTGAAAATGATCTTAATCTAATAAGAATTTTACTTCATACCCAACATTGAAAAGGTCTTGAACACCACAACACAAGCTGCTGTTCCAATAGAACCTACGATCACATTGGGTTTCGAGATAAACTGAAACCAATGACAAAGTGAGAGGACCTTGGATTGAACCCTGTGGTACACCACATCAAATCACAGACTGACAGAAAATTAGAGACACTTATTTTTAGTTCATGGAGACTACTTGAATCAAGGCAGTACATGTGTTTCTATGGTAAAATTGTTCACAGATTTCAAATGATCAAGCAGGTAAACAACATTACTGTATCATCACTAACTGTTGATGTTTATCAACAGTTGAACTGTAATGTAGCATATTATTTTCCATGGCATTATTGTATGATCATATGTCAGATGAACAGATGCCACTGGGCTTACAACTAAAGACACAGCCACGCAAAAACTGCGGCATGTGTACGCAGGGGCGCCGTAAGGGGGTGAAAAGTTAGGACGATTCTGAGGGCCCGTGACTGACAGGGGCCCAAACAATTTGAGAACATTAAGAAAAAAATGTTTAAGCAACCAATGTGATTATCTTTTCATGGGGCTCCTTATGGGTACTGCAATTTTTGAAGTGCCGGAGCCGCGTTCCGGCAGCACTATACCCCGTAATGACACGTTACGCTTGTGTTGTGTTCAAGGAACCTGTCCATGGCCAGGAAAAACAGGCAGTCGCTTGTTTAATTCTGTTGCGGTCTAGATTTCTTACATTTTTTGTTTCCTTCTGCGCTTCGTTGCGTGCATGTCTTCCTTCTGCAGGTAACGGGGAGACGCGCTCTGGCGGCGGTCTCGTTCAGGATCCGAAAATACAATTTAAATATTTTGCACACTTATTCTACTTATTCCTAGTGTGCCACTGGTTACGGTACCGCGTGCCACGTGCCTACGGTTACCGACCCCTGCCCTAGCTTGCTCTTCAAGAGTGGTTTGAAGACTGCAGATGTCAGGGCAAGTGGGAATAAATATGAAAAATAAGAAGTGTTGGTGAAGGTCCATCAGGAGTCTGGCACCTGGTGGACTGCACTCATAAAAAGTTATTAGGATAAATGTTTCAGATAAATTAAAGTAGCGTGGTGTTGAAGCATCAAATACAGGATGGCTCTCTGCTGGGGGTTGAATTGTTTGAGAGTTTCTTGTGTTGTTTCCCTAAAGTCTAACAGAGAGAGACTCCCTCTGGTGGATGTTGTGCAGCATTGTGTTGTCTTTGCTCCAAAGGTTTTTGTACAGAGTGTTGGTGTTTCCTGTCACTGTGGGCTGCAGAGCACAGTAGTACACAGCAGAGTCAGACAGCTGAAGCTTCTGGATCTTCAGAGGACCGGATCTTAAGCTTGAATCCAGTGTGGATGAGAATCTGTCCTCGTCCTCTGTTTTCCCCGTGCCGATCTTAAAGCGGCTCAGGATGAATGTGGGGCTGTTGTCTCCGAGCTGTTTGTACCAGAAGAGATAGTAATTTGATGAAGTGGTGTTATAGTGACAGCCAAGTGTTACTGCCTCTCCTTTAGTAGCAGTCTTTTCTGCTTCAGGTTGCAGCACGTTGTCTCTTTGGGCTCTGCATTCTGTAAAATAGCAACAAACAGTATCAGGGACATGTTAGAGAATCATCTCAATGTTAGACTGATATCAAAGAGTTCATACCAAGACTCATAGCAGCCAGCAACACTGAGATAATCAGATGCATCATATCTGCAAGTTTAGAAACTCTGAGCTACAGCGAGTATAAAGAGGACTGATAAACTCTGCTGAAGTCTGACAGAGAGAGACTCCCTCTGGTGGATGCTGTGCAGTACTGTGTTGTCTTTGCTCCAGAGGTTTTTGTACAGAGTGTTGGTGTTTCCTGTCACTGTGGGCTTCAGAGCACAGTAGTACACAGCAGAGTCTGTCACTGCAGCAGAGGAGATGATCATATTGATTCGGTTTGACTCCATTTGCTTTTTCGTCACTGTAATATTCAGTCCAGGGATTGGGTTAGTTCCTACTTGGCCTGAAACAGAGTGTGAGATGAGGAACTCTGGTGGTTTTCCAGGATATTGTCGATACCAGAAGTAATAATTAGCATTAGATCCAGCTTTGTAGGACAGAGTAATAGTGCTGCCTTCTGGACTGAACTCTTCTGTTTTGACTGGAGTCAGATCTTCACAGCTGACGCCTGAGGGAAAGAATAACTCTGTTATTTAATGTTATAAAAGTTATTTTAGCAAAACCACACTCAGAAAGCAAGAGTGCAACAAACCTGATAAAATTGCAAACAATATCAGAGAAAAAGCTGAGTTCTGCAGGGAGAGCATGTTGAATGAAGGTGATGATGATGGTCTGTGTTGAACTCTGGTGAATATGGAAGTTCCTCTCTCTTCTATAGTTCAGGAACATCTTAGCTCCTCCCTGAATTTCTCTGTCTCCTCTGAGATCTGTATTTCACTTCTCTCAGTTACCCTTCCTCCTGGGTAACAGATCCAAAGGCAGTCTGTACATTAAAAAGTCAGAGGACCTATTGAACCCTGTGGTACACCACAATAAATCACAGACCAACAGATAATTGTGTTTTATAAAGATAAGAACAAAAGCAATCAAAACTTGAGTGTGTGATGTGTACCAGTTTATTGAGAGAGGTGATTTAAAGTGTTTGATCAGTCAGTAAATAAAAACGTAATAATAACAATGACGGGCGTTAACGTGAAGTCATATTAGTGAGAGGTGCTTCATCGAGAGAGAAATCTGTTTAAAATGATGTTAATCTATTACAAATATTTCTTCAGATCCAACATTGAAAAGGTCTTGAACACCACAACACAAGCTGCTGTTCCAATAGAACCTTTCATCAAATTGGGCTTGGAGATAAACTGAATCCAATGACAAAGTGAAAGGACCTAGGATTGAACCCTGTGGTACACCACATGAAATCACAGACTGACAGAAAATTAGAGACACTTATTTTAAATTCATGGAGACTACATTTTATGTTTAATCTGTGATAACAGGTCAGATTAACTGATTGAGTTAAACATGTTAACCTGTTGATGTGAATCAAAGGCAGTACATGTGTTTCTATGGTAGTGCACAATTGTTTATACATTTATATACCTGACATAAACCTTTAGAAATGATCAAGCAGGTAAACTAAATGATTGTATCCTCACAAACTATTGATGTTTAACAGAGAGAGGCTCCCTCTGGTGGATGTAGTGCAGTATTGTGTTGTCTGTGCTCCAAAGGTTTTTGTACAGAGTCTTGGTGTTTCCTGTCACTGTGGGCCTCAGAGCACAGTAGTACACAGCAGAGTCTGTCACTTTAGCTGAGATGATCTCAAGATCAACTCGTTTCTCTGTTTTGTCAATGTGAGCAGAGAAATCAGATTCAGTGGGATGGATCCCTCCTGCCTCTGTGATGTAGAGCAGGAACTCTGGTCTGGATCTCTGGTATTGTCGGTACCACTGGATATTGTAGATAGTCCCCTCATATTTACATGTCAGGCTGATGTTTCTGCCCTCTGCAACATGTTCTTCACTTCTTTCTGGCTTTATGCTGTTCATGGAGCCCAGGGCTGCAAAATGAGAATTATTCATGTCAGTTAGTCTGCAGGAGATTTTAACATTAAGAGACTCAACGGAGGGTCTTCAATTTCCTGTCATCTTTAATCAGTTTGAGATAAACCATGATCAAATGTCTTCATAGATCACAACGGTTGCTGCCTTACACAATCAAACCTCCAGTTATGAAATCTCTGGCTAATACAGCGGGTTAAATGAGACTTTATCTCTGTTCCAACACTCACCTATGAAGAGAGAGAAGAGTAACCAGAGGTAAAGCAACATGTCTTTGGAGATGGTAAAGTCGAACAGTCAGCAGATGAGTTCTCCTCCTGCAGAAGTGAAGCAGGAAACAGCCTCTCTGCTGCTCAGCCCTTTTCCTCAACATCAGATGATTGTGCTTTTAGTTCCTCAAACATCTCACTCATTGGTTGATATAAACGTCAGTGGGCGGGGCCAGAGAATCATGTTTTACTAGTTTTAAACCATCAAAATACTTTTCTCATATTTAAAACAGTTAGTTCTCTTTGTGTTTCTCACTGACTCATACATTGAAATGTACAAAAACGTAGCAATAACAATGACGGGCGTTAACGTGAAGTCAGATTAGTGAGAGGTGTTTCATCGAGAGAGAAATCTGTTTAAAATATCTTAATCTAATGAGAATATTGATTCACAGGTGTCATTTAAAAGGTCTTGAACACCACAACACAAGCTGCTGTTCCAATAGAACCTATTATCACAATAGGTGCGTTCACACCGGAGTACTTTGGTGTACTTTTCCCACAATAGTTCATCAGAACTACGATATATTTGCGTTCACACCAAAAAGCCCCAGGAACTAAAGTAGCTCAACTTAGTTCTTCAGACCCGCTTTTCAGGCCCTGCTAGAGAGCAGGGACTGTTGTGGGAGAAAGTAGTTCGTACGTCTGATTGGCTGTGCGGAATGCAAACCACGCCATGTATTTGTTCGCTTCGGCAGAAGCTTCTACTGAATGCAGTTTCCGTCGCTCAGCAAAGTTAGCAGACCTGGCAAAGTCATGTCGGGACGACTACAAACGTAAAATAAAATACATGCACTGCACTGTTTTAATCTGCACAATACTGGTCTTAGATGTACTTTTATTTGCTCAGTAGATCGAGCTAGCCATGCTAGAACTTGCTAACGTTAGGTCCACAGCCATGCCCGCTATGAACACGTTTTGACTTGTGAATAAGTGTGCAATGTTCTGTAATTTGCTTCACTAACTCATGGCACTAATCGTGTGTTTCAGGCGAGGTGTTTCTCTCAGGATTAGAAACTAGTTTTCCCCTCCGGGATAAAACGATAATATAACGTTAGCAATTAGCATGCTAGCTGGACATAATGCTACCTCTGTATTGTTACCTCTAACAATAGATTGTAGTTGCTATAATTTCAAGTAATTTGCAACATTCATTCTACATGTTAATGGTAAAAGCTTAAACAGTTGATTACCTGCATGCCACAAAGACTAATGTTCTAATATTTTTGCACATTGAAGTAGAAATGTAATTGAAATTCTATTTACTGCCTAAACATTGTTCCTTGTCACAGTATTATCCTAAATAGTTTGACCTTGTTTCCTCAGAAGGCTTCTCAGACTACATGGAGGATCCCTCAGAGAAACACAGTTTCCACGTTCAGTTCCCCCCCGCTGAGAGTAGGCAGCTCCACACCCTGCACCCGGTCAGCGGACACCATCAGGACCACTATCTGATCACAGAGGATCCCATCCTGACCGCTGCTGCCATACTGCAGCAAACAGGAGGGAACGGAGGTGAAAACACACTTTATACATTTAGATATGTGGAGCACAAAGAAAAGTGTTGAGTTTAACTATAAAAATATTAGGTTCAACTAACCTAATACCATTATATGAACTTTGCTGTGTTTTCAGCGTAGCTTTGTAAAGGTAACATTTAGCAGCTAAACTGTGGATAACAAGTAAACCACATTGGTTTGTTATTCAATATGGCCGCCAAAAGCTTTTTGAATCATTACATGTCACTTGTTAGACGCTTTTATCCAAAGCTTACATACTCAATACTGTGGGCAATCCCCACAGGAGCACTTTGGGGTGAAGTGTCTCAGGGACACAACGACATGCTGACTGCAGTGGGGTTTGAACCTGTGCTCCCCTGATCCGAACACCAATGCACTTATCCACTGCGCCACACGCCTCCCTATCATGTCCTGAGAGCCCTCCATCCCCCAATTGCTAGTGCCTTCACCATTTAAAATGTTAATAGTCAAATCAAAGGTGTTGTCTCGTTGTTGCGATTAAACTGATCTTGTATCTTGCATATTTCACCTTAGGAAAGTGGGCACGCGATGACAGCTTCCTTGACACCATCATGGCGATGGCCCGCCGTGCCATGGTCAGCAAGGAGAATGAGGACCTGCGTGCCAAGGAGATGCACGACGAACGGCTGCTGCATTCACACAAGGCCCAGGAATCGAGGTGGAGCAACAAAATACCTTTCAGGCTGGGCTTCTGGCAGTGCTAAGCGAGCTGATTAAATCCAACAGGCCTTCAATACAAAAATTAAGAAAAACTTGTCGTCGTTGATAAACTGTACAATGACTTGTTGGGAGGCGTGTGGTGCAGTGGTCTGGTGCGTTGGTGTTCGGATCAGGGGAGCACAGGTTCAAACCCCACTGCAGTCAGGATGTCGTTGTGTCCCTGGGCAAGACACTTCACCCCAAATTGCCTACACCTGGGACAGTTAATTTTGTATTATTGTGATTATATATATATGCCACTGTTATTAATACTGACACCTAACTTTGCACTAAGGTGTGTCTGCTGCTGAGCCTACCTATTATTATTATTATATATATATATATATATATATATTGCCACTGTTATTATATTGTTTTGATACTACTGGCACTTATTGATCTGCTTCTGATAAATAAAAGAGAACCTACATGCACAGCACTAGCATCATGACTGTCTTTGTTTAAACCAGCAGCAGTGCAGCGGTACACAGACTAACCTGTGTGTGTGTAACGTAGTTCTTCAGATGTGTATGCTTAACATGTATGTATTTATCACAGTAAAGATGGTATACAAAAGCTTTTTAAAGAGCTTTCAACCTCATCCCATTGTCTTTAACACACATTTAACATAATAATATACTCATATTAATATACAAATATACAGTATGAGTACTGTTTTGATACTGACATTTCATCTTTGCACTAAGATGTGTCTGCACTATTGTAATTGTGTCTGTTGACTGTGGTAAATAAAAGAGAGAACCAAATGCACTGTACAAAAGATCAGCTTTATTGTCAATTTACAATTTCCATGCTGTTCAGATGCCTCAAGGGCTGTGCGCGTGTCTTGCCCCGTGGCGATTTGTTTAGGTTGCGTCTCCCCAATGGTTGCTTCCAGGCGAATACAGAGGAGTTGAAAAGATCCACTTTGATCCACTGCACATTGGTGTACGTTGGCAGTGCACCACCTTCTCCCACCAGGCCGAGGTTCTATTGTTCACCCAGAGAGAGCGCGGGACACGACGCGTTCCGTAGTATTCGCATATCTGGAATACATACAAAGACACAAATTAGCCCTACATAACTCCATAAATCCTACATTAGATAGTATTAATGTGATTTAATGAACGTACCATTGCTGTTCTTTGGGCGTGATAACGGTCATCATCCTCAGCTATCGAAACATGTCCATAGCGTGTGCTTTTCGTGGTCCAATCCTTTTGTTAAGGCTTCTTAACCGCCTTCGCCTCCGACTCAGCATTTCTATTGCATTTGAATGGTCGATCTGTATTTTTATTTGTGGCTGAGTTATTGGCTTAAATAACTCAGTTACGAAGCTGTATAACACGAGCACCAAAACGTCAACTCCATACCGTGTCTGAGGTCGGAAGGTAAACAGAAGCATACAGCGGAAGCGGAAGTTTTTCTTCTTCTTCTCTCGGTTTTTTGGCGAATTGCAACTTTAAGGTGCATACCGCCACCTACTGTACTCGCCGTGAAGTTGTTTGCGGCCTGCCACTAAACCCAAAGCAGAAGAAGAAGAAGTGACGTCAGCGGCTCATTTGCCTAATCCACCCCCAGGAACTCATTTTGGTGTGAACGCGATCTGCTTTAGTTCATCAGAACTAAAAGAGCTCTCATGAACTAAAGTTCTCAGGAACTACTGTGGGAAAAGTACTTGGTGTGAACGCGCCTATTGTGCTTAGAGATAAACTGAATCCAATGACAAAATGAGAGGACCTTAGATTGAACCCTGTGGTACACCATATGATCACAGACTGACAAAAAAATAGAGACACTTATTTTAATTACTAATTAAGCACTTACATACTAACAAAGCACTTATATACTAATAAAGAACTGGCTTATCTAAAGCCAGTTGAGTAGCACATGAAATGTTTTGGCTCTATGAATCCTGAGGCCTGTACTACGAAGCCGGATTGTCGCTTAGCCGGCTGACTTCAGGGAAAACTCTGGCTTTCCGGTCCTACAACGCTGGTTCTCTTTTTAGCGGGCTAGATCTCCATGGTAACTTATGCTGAGCGGCTAACCTCCTCGGAAGTATTATTTTAAGCAACACATTAAGTTGACGAAACATTCGAGTCAAATGTAATTAAAGTCAGATCGTGTCTTGGACGGGGCAGTGATATCATAAACCTGTTAATGTACGCATTCAAACACTTTCTCTGTTACCAGCTGTATTCACCTTGCAGGTGCAGCTATGTGGCTTTTATCCTGGATAAAGTGTTTAAGTCATGGATGTTTAAAGTTTAACTTCTTCATATTTGACTAATATTAAATTCACTTTTCATTCAGGAAGTATGACGCTGCGCTGTCAGTACGCTTCTCCATGTTTGTGATTGGTCGAATGCTCCAAATTAGTGATGTGTCGGTCGCGAACGAGCCGATTCTTTTGAACGGCTCTTTGGTACGAACGAGGGGAACCGAGTCCTACTTGGTGAGAGCCGTTCTTGTTATCGTTCAATCGTTGGTCCGCACTCACTGCCTGCCAAAATCCACTCGCCTTTTAAAAAGCTTGATTTTGTTCCCCAAACGTATTCTGTGAAGACCCGCCCCTACTCTGTTTGGTAGGTTTCAGCACGAGGAGTGAGATGGGGTGGGTCTTAACGGAATACGCGAGAGAGAGAAGTCATAACAAGTGGTACAGGACAGGTAGACAACGTGTTTTTCGGATGGAAAATGAGCCAAACGCGAAACGCAGCAGCATTTGGATTCACTTCAACCAAAACCCAGGCAGTGATAAAGCGCACCATTTGTAAAGGCAAAATATCCTTTAAAGCAGGATCAACAAATAATCTCCATCGCCACTTAAAAACACAGTATCTAATATTAAGAGTTGCATGAATTTCATTCAAGGCAAGGCAACTTTATTTACTTAACACATACAGAGGGTAAATTCAAAGTACATTCACTGACATGATGACATGGATATGGCGCCACCTTGTGTCATGTTTACAATGCCGATTATTGACATTAGGTCTGGCAATACAGTCAATCATTATCCTGGTGATTATTTTGCAGATAAACCTAGTAACCTTAAAAAAACGGCTCTTTTGAACGGCTCTTTTGAACGGCTCTTTGAAAGGAACGGAGCCATAAGATCCGGCTCCCTTCAAAGAGCCATAATTCCCATCACTACTCCAAATACCACCCCTTTCATGTGAACGCGCACCTAACTAGATAGGACACGGCTGGCTTGAGCGATCCACTTGATAAGCAGCGGCGTAGTACAGTTTAGTGAGAGTGCGTATGTTTTGGATTGGGCCAACCGGCTAACTCAAACATATCCAGGTTAGGAAAATCCGGCTTCGTAGTACAGGCCTCTGATGTACTTATATGATTCTGTTTTCTTCAAGTTTGTATCTTCTTGGTCGAATGCACTTATTGTAAGTCGCTTTGGATAAAAGCGTCAGCTAAATGCAATCTAATGTAATGTAATGTTAAGTTCATTAAGACTACTTAATTGTATTTTAACCTGTGATGAAAGGCCAGATTCACTGACTGAGTTAATTATTTGAACCTGTGGATGTGAATCAAAGGCAGTCCATGTGTTTGTATAGTGTGCAGCTGCTCCTCACCTGTGGAATTCTCTCCCAGACCACCTGAGGACTCCACAGACCACTGACGCCTTCAGGAAAGGCCTAAAACCTTTCTTTTTAAAAAACTTTTGATTAAACTTTTGTTTCTTTTGTTTGTTTTTATTATGCCTCCTGTAGCACCTTGGGATTGCTGTTAGCAATGAAAGGTGCTTTACAAATCAAATGTATTATTATTATTATTATTAGTAGGGAACAATTGTTCATAAATTTCAAATCATCAAGCAGGTAAATGACATTACTGTATCATCACAAACTATGTATGTTTATCAGAGAGAGACTCCCTCTGGTGGATGCTGTGCAGGATTGTGTTGTCTTTGCTCCAAAGGTTTTTGTACAGAGTGTTGGTGTTTCCTGTCACTGTGGGCTGCAGAGCACAGTAGTACACAGCAGAGTCTGTCACTGCAGCAGAGGAGATCTGCAGATCCACTCGTTTCTTTCCTTCAGACAGGTCAGTGAAGAACCTGGTGTCCGATTCAAGTGATTCTGCTTTGTTTGTGAAATTAACCCCTGAGATAGACAGGAGCAACTCTGGTGGTTCTCCTGGATATTGTCGATACCAGAAGAAATAATCATCACCCGCTGCTTGTTTGGAGTATCTGTAGGACAGAGTAACAGTGCTGCCTTCTGGACTGAACTCTTCTGTTTTGACTGGAGTCAGATCTTCACAGCTGAAGCCTAAGGGAAAGATTAACTCTGTTATTTCATGTTATAAAAGTTATTTTAGCAAAACCACACTCAGAAAGCAAGAGTGCAACAAACCTGATAAGATTGCAAACAATATCAGAGAAAAAGCTGAGTTCTGCAGGGACAGCATGTTGAATGAAGGTGATGATGATGGTCTGTGTTGAACTCTGGTGAATATGGAAGTTCCTCTCTCTTCTATAGTTCAGGAACATCTTAGCTCCTCCCTGAATCTCTCTGTCTCCTCTTAGATCTGTATTTCACTTCTCTCAATTTCATTTTTCATGTTATCACGTGTGTGTCGTCTGCATAGCTATGGTAACTTATTTCATTGTTATCCATTAACTAAGCTAGTGGAAGCATGTAGATGTTAAAGAGAAGAGTCCCCAGGATGGAGACTTGAGGAACCACACAGGTCATATTTGTCAACGCAGTTGTTTAGTTACCTAGAGAAACAAAGTGTTTCCTGTCTGTTAAGTAGCATTCAGACCAATACAAACAGTGCCAGAGTCCCACCCAGTTTTCCAGTCGGTCTAGTAATATGTTGTGTTCAACAGTTTAAAATGCAGCGCTGAGAACTAATAATACTGACACTGAGATTCTGCCACTGTCCGTGTTTAAGTGGATTAAAACGTTAATTAGAGCAGTCTCAGTGCTGTGTGACTGGAACACATCAAAACAGTTATTTAGTTCCAATACAGTTGTTTAGCTGTTGAACTTTTTTATTATTTTACCCGGCCTATAAATGTTCATCAGTGAAGCGCCTAGGTAGTTCTTTAAGAGTGGTTTGATGACTGCAGTTTTCAGGGCCTGTGAGAATAAATATGAATAACAGGAAGTGTTGGTGAAGGTCCATCAGGAGTCTGGCACATGGTGGAATGCTCTCATTAAAAAGTATTAGGATAAATGTGAGAGATAAATTAAAGTAACGTGGTGTTGAAGCATCAAATTAAAGATGCCTCTCTGCTGGGGGTTGAGTTGTTTGAGCATTAGTTGTGTTGTTTCCCTAAAGTCTAACAGAGAGAGACTCCCTCTGGTGGATGCTGTGCAGGATTGTGTTGTCTTTGCTCCAAAGGTTTTTGTACAGAGTTGTGGTGTTTCCTGTCACTGTGGGCTGCAGAGCACAGTAGTACACAGCAGAGTCTGTCACTGCAGCAGAGGAGATCTGCAGATCCACTTGATTTCTCTCCAAGTTCAGTGTGGCATTCAGTCGAGGGATTGGAGGTTTTGCTTCCACCACGTAAGGCTGTGCTGTGTCAGTGATCAGGAGGAGGAACTGAGGAGCTGATCCAGGATCCTGTCTGTACCACTGGAGGTTATTGGCTTTAACTGAATATGTACAGGACAGAGTAACACTACGGCCCTCTGAGGAACACACTTCAGCACTGATGGCAGTAATATCATCTTCCAAGCTGTTACCTAGTGAGGAAAACATCATGCTATCATTACAGCTCCAAAGTCACAAACCCATCAATTCCTTAGTGAAAAAACAACACTCCTGTAAAGTGAAAATCCAAAATCCAAAGTGGATGTGTAATGCTTTGAAAAAGTCTTCATATTTCCCCTTCTCCTGTCAGAAACATACGTACCTATGAGAGCTGAACAGAGCAGAATTGCAGCCAGTTTCTCCATGTTCACAGAGGGGAAAGCTGTGGTTGTTCAGTATGGAAACGTTTAGTGAGTTGTGTTTGGTCTGATGTTCACAGCTGGAATCAGAGAGGTGTCAGTCATGAAGCTCTGCAGTCAGCAGGAGGAGACTCAGATGTCCAATGAGTTTCTGGAGCTCTTCATCACAGCTGTGAGTCTGAGAGAATCTAATCTAGACTGTATCATCACATCCTGCTGAAGGTGAACAGAGAGAGACTCCCTCTGGTGGATGTAGTGCAGTACTGTGTTGTCTTTGCTCCAAAGGTTTTTGTACAGAGTGTTGGTGTTTCCTGTCACTGTGGGCTGCACAGCACAGTAGTACACAGCAGAGTCTGTCACTGCAGCAGAGGAGATGCTCAGATAGATCTGGGTTTTATCCTCATCCGATTTAACGGACAGTCGAGAGTTTGATGCAGGTGTTGTTCCCCAGTGAAGGATGAGGAACTCTGGTGGTTTTCCTGGATATTGTCGATACCAGTAGAAATAATCATTAGCTGCTATAGTTTTGGAGTATCTGTAGGACAGAGTAACAGAGCTGCCTTCTGGACTGAACTCTTCTGGCTTTGATGGAGTGAGATCTTCACAGCTGACTGGAGAGAGGAGTAATTCAAAGTATTCATTTAATAAATCGCATTAAATTAATCTGTAATTCAACTTTTTCGCGCAGAATGTTACATACCTCTTAGAACGGACACTAAAAATAAAAAAATGAAACAATTATCTGACAGCATGTTGAATGAAGGTGATGATGATGGTCTGTGTTGAACTCTGGTGAATATGGAAGTTCCTCTCTCTTCTATAGTTCAGGAACATCTTAGCTCCTCCCTGAATCTCTCTGTCTCCTCTTAGATCTGTATTTCACTTCTCTCAGTTACCCTTCCTCCTGGGTAACAGATCCAAAGGCAGTCTGTACATAAAAAGGGAGAGGACCTAGGATTGAACCCTGTGGTACACCACAATAAATCACAGACCAACAGAGAATTGTATTTTATAAAGATAAGAACAAAAGTAATCAAAACTTAAGTCTGTGATGTGTACCAGTTTATTGAGAGATGTGATTTAAAGTGTTTGATCAGTCAGTAAAAAAACGTAGCTATAACAATGACGGGCGTTAACGTGAAGTCAGATTAGTGAGAGGTGTTTCATCGAGAGAGAAATGTGTTTTAAATCATCTTAATCTAATAAGAATTGTACTTCATACCCAACATTTAAAGCGTCTTGAACACCACAACACAAGCTGCTGTTCCAATAGAACCTATAATCACATTGTGCTCAGAGATAAACTTAATCCAATGAGAAAGTGAGAGGACCTAGGATTGATCCCTGTGGTACACCACATGAAATCACAGACTGACAGAAAAACTGAAACACTTATTTAAAGTTAATTAAGACCATCAACTGTAGTTAGTCTCATCAGCCACAACGATGAGACTAACTACAGGAAGGAAGTGAACCAGCTGGCCCTGTGGTACCAAAATAACAACCTCTTCCTCAACCTGGAGAAAACAAAGGAGATAGTTGTTGACTTCAGGAGAACCCACTACCAACCCCCTCTCCCCCTGACCATCAACGGCGCTGCTGTGGAGCAGGTGACCAGCACCAAATTCCTTGGTGTGACCATCACTGATGACCTCACCTGGGAAAACAACACCACCTGCACTAGCGAGGAAAGCCCAGCAGCGCCTGTACTTCATCCGGAAGCTCAAGCGAGCCGGAGCATCACCCCCCATCATGCTGTCTTTTTACCGAGGCGCCACTGAGAACATCCTCAGCAGCTGTATCACGCTGTGGTTTGGAAGCTGCACCGCCGCCGACCGCAAGAGCCTGCAGCGCATTGTGAACTCTGCCCAGAGGATCATCGGTGCCTCACTCCCATCACTACAGGACATATATAACACCCGCCTCACCCGCAAAGCACTCAGCATTGCGGGTGACTCCACCCACCCCTCCAACAGCCTCTTCAGCCTCCTGCCTTCGGGTTTAACAGGTTAAACATCAATAGTTTGTGAGGAAACAGTAATGTAATCTACCTGCTTGAAATCTATTAACCTGTTTAACAGAGAGAGACTCCCTCTGGTGGATGTTGTGCAGTATTGTGTTGTCTTTGCTCCAAAGGTTTTTGTACAGAGTGTTGGTGTTTCCTGTCACTGTGGGCTCCACAGCACAGTAGTACACAGCAGAGTCTGTCACTGCAGCAGAGGAGATGCTCAGATAGATCTGGGTTTTATCCTCACTCACTTCAGCAGACAGTCCAGAAACTGGATTCAACATAATGTCTCCAGTTCCTAAATGAGAGAAGATGAACTCTGGTGGTTTTCCTGGATATTGTCGATACCAGAAGAAATAATCATTACCAGTTGCTTCTTTGGAGTATCTGTAGGACAGAGTAACAGTGCTGCCTTCTGGACTGAACTCTTCTGTTTTGACTGGAGACAGATCTTCACAGCTGACGCCTGAGGGAAAGATTAACTCTGTTATTTCATGTTATAAAAGTTATTTTAGCAAAACCACACTCAGAAAGCAAGAGTGCAACAAACCTGATAAGATTGCAAACAATATCAGAGAAAATGCTGAGTTCTGCAGGGAGAGCATGTTGAATGAAGGTGATGATGATGGTCTGTGTTGAACTCTGGTGAATATGGAAGTTCCTCTCTCTTCTATAGTTCAGGAACATCTTAGCTCCTCCCTGAATCTCTCTGTCTCCTCTTAGATCTGTATTTCACTTCTCTCAGTTACCCTTCCTCCTGGGTAACAGATCCAAAGGCAGTCTGTACATTAAAAAGTCAGAGGACCTATTGAACCCTGTGGTACACCACGATAAATCACAGACCAACAGATAATTGTGTTTTATAAAGATAAGAACAAAAGCAATCAAAACTTGAGTGTGTGATGTGTACCAGTTTATTGAGAGAGGTGATTTAAAGTATTTGATCAGTCAGCAAATAAAAACGTAATAATAACAATGACGGGCGTTAACGTGAAGTCAGATTAGTGAGAGGTGTTTCATCGAGAGAGAAATCTGTTTAAAATGATCTTAATCTATTACAAATATTTCTTCAGATCCAACATTTAAAAGGTCTTGAACACCACAACACAAGCTGCTATTCCAATAGAACCTTTCATCAAATTGGGCTTGGAGATAAACTGAATCCAATGACAAAGTGAGAGGACCTAGGATTGAACCCTGTGGTACACCACATGAAATCACAGACTGACAGAAAATTAGAGACACTTATTTTAAATTCATGGAGACTACATTTTATGTTTAATCTGTGATAACAGGTCAGATTAACTGATTGAGTTAAACATGTTAACCTGTTGATGTGAATCAAACTATTGATGTTTAACAGAGAGAGGCTCCCTCTGGTGGATGTTGTGCAGTATTGTGTTGTCTGTGCTCCAAAGGTTTTTGTACAGAGTGTAGGTGTTTCCTGTCACTGTGGGCCTCAGAGCACAGTAGTACACAGCAGAGTCTGTCTCTTTAGCTGAGATGATCTCCAGATCAACTCGTTTCTCTGTGTTGTCAATGTGAGCAGAGAAATCAGATTCAGTGGGATGGATCCCTCCTGCCTCTGTGATGTAGAGCAGGAACTCTGGTCTGGATCTCTGGTATTGTCGGTACCACTGGATATTGTAGATAGCCCCCTCATATTTACATGTCAGGCTGATGTTTCTGCCCTCTGCAACATGTTCTTCACTTCTTTCTGGCTTTATGCTGTTCATGGAGCCCAGGGCTGCAAAATGAGAATTATTCATGTCAGTTAGTCTGCAGGAGATTTTAACATTAAGAGACTCAACGGAGGGTCTTCAATTTCCTGTCATCTTTGATCAGTTTGAGATCAAACATGACCAAATGTCTTCATAGATCACAACGGTTGCTGCCTTACACAATCAAACCTCCAGTTATGAAATCTCTGGCTAATACAGCGGGTTAAATGAGACTTTATCTCTGTTCCAACACTCACCTATGAAGAGAGAGAAGAGTAACCAGAGGTAAAGCAACATGTCTTTGGAGATGGTAAAGTCGAACAGTCAGCAGATGAGTTCTCCTCCTGCAGAAGTGAAGCAGGAAACAGCCTCTCTGCTGCTCAGCCCTTCTCCTCAACATCAGATGATTGTGCTTTTAGTTCCTCAAACATCTCACAAATCATCTCATTGGTTGATATAAACGTCAGTGGGCGGGGCCAGAGAATCATGTTTTACTGGTTTTATAAACCTTTACTTTTCTCATATTTAAAACATTTAGTTCTCTTTGTCTTTCTCACTGGGGGGGGGGAATTCAACTGATGAGAGAAGATGTAAAAGAATTCAAAGGTCAAATTACTCCTTTACAGCTGATAGGACCGTTACAGTGTATGACCCTGCACTTGACATTTTCAGTTTAATTAGAAGGCCCTGCAATGACAGCAAGGACTAAAGGTAGACCTATATTGGATAGTATAACTGTAGTTAGTTACAACATTAAGGGATTGAGAAATCCTATTAAGAGGAAAAAAATACTTTCTCAGTTTAAGGCTTTGAAATGTTCAATTGCAATGTTACAAGAGACCCATATGTCTGAAGTTGAGCATTTAAAGTTGAGGAGAGACTGGGTGGAACGGGTTTACAGTGCATCGTATAAGGGTGGGAGGAAGAGGGGGGTTGCGATCTTATTCAGTAGGTCTGTGTTCTTTACCAGTGAAAGAGTCATTCAGGACGAGGAAGGCAGATATGTCATGGTGATAGGCCCGATTGGGGAAGATACATTCACATTTCTATATGTATATGCCCTGAATGAGGACTGTCCTTATTTTTTCAAGAAAATAGCTTCCAAATTGGCAGATGGGGTGGAGGGAACTATTGTGATAGGGGGGGACTTCAACTGTGTATTACATTTGAGCATGGACAGATTGCCTGCTAAGAAGGGACTCGGATCTAGGAAAACAACCACTGCCCTGGGGATGTTAGATGGACTGGGTTTGGTAGATGGACTGGGTTTGGTAGATGGACTGGGTTTGGTAGATGGACTGGGTTTGGTAGATGGACTGGGTTTGGTAGATGTCTGGGTTTGGTAAATGGACTGGGTTTGGTAGATGGACTGGGTTTGGTAGATGGACTGGGTTTGGTAGATGGACTGGGTTTGGTAGGACTGGGTTTGGTAGATGGACTGGGTTTGGTAGATGGACTGGGTTTGGTAGATGGACTGGGTTTGGTAGATGGACTGGGTTTGGTAGGTGGACTGGGTTTGGTAGATGGACTGGGTTTGGTAGATGGACTGGGTTTGGTAGATGGACTGGGGATGGTAGATGGACTGGGTTTGGTAGATGGACTGGGTTTGGTAGATGGACTGGGGATGGTAGATGGACTGGGTTTGGTAGATGGACTGGGTTTGGTAGATGGACTGGGTTTGGTAGATGGACTGGGTTTGGTAGATGTCTGGCGATGTCTCCATCCCAAAGATAAAGATTATACATACAGATCTCTAGTTCATGGGAGTTACTCTAGAATAGACATGTTTTGCCTATCTAAGGTTGACATGCAAAGAGTAACAGAATGTAAGATAGAACCAATCACACTATCTGACCATGGCCCCATCACAATGAAAATGAACCTAGGTCAGGATAGACAATTCAGATATTGGAGGCTTAATGTCTCAATACTAAATGATCCCCTGATCCAACAGGAATTACGTGACGGCCTAAAGGAATATATTGATATAAATGATAATGGTGAGGTTACTCCTTCTATTTTATGGGATGGATCTAAAGCTGTAATGAGGGGAAAGATCATTCAAATTTCCTCTAGATTAAAAAAAACAAAGAGAGGCGAGGAGACTTAAATTAGAGACTGAAATAACTAGACTTGAAAGGGAACACAAAGTATCGAGGGACAGGGTCACACTGGATTTGCTAAAACATGAAAAACAAAAATGAGATGATCTACATACCTATAAGGCAGAGGGAGCGCTTAGATTTGTAAAAAGAAAATATTATGAAATGGGTAATAGAGCGAGCAGGTTATTGGCCTTTCAACTACGCAAGGCTCAATCTAGCCGAGTGGTTTCTAAAATTAAACATCCAGACACAAAGAAAGTTACATCTCAGTCTAAAGAAATAGCAGAGGCATTTGCGGTGTATTACAAAAAGCTATATGAGGGCCAGGAGGTACAAGGGAAAGAGGATAAGATATCACGTCTCCTTGACTCGGTAGAATTAGACAAATTGTCACAGGAGGAGGCTGACATGATGTGCTCACCCATTACAGTAGAGGAAATAGTAGATAGTATTGGTAAGCTCAAGAATAACAGATCTCCCGGTATCGATGGGTACTCGGGGGAGTACTATAACGTTTTTGTGAATGAGTTGGCACCAGTCCTATGTCGGGTATATAATTATGCATTGGATGAAGGAGACCCACGGAAATCCTGGTCAGAGGCAATCATTACGGTTATTCATAAAGAAGGGAAGGACCCCACACAATGTGTGGGTTATCGGCCCATAAGCCTTCTCTGTCAGGATTTTAAAATCCTGACCTCCATTCTGGCTAGTAGAATACAGAGGTGCATTAGGAAGCTAGTACACCCAGACCAAACGGGATTCATTGCTGGGCGCCATGGTACTAATAATGTTAGAAGAGCTCTCAATTTACAATCATTAATATCATTCCAATAACTTGTATATAGACTCGTACCGCACTATTCCACATACTCACTTTATTTTATAACTATTTTTCTTTTTGTATTACTCCTACTATCTGTATTATTATTATGTTGCATTGTTGGAGAAGCCTGTGACATAAGATTTTCAACAACATAATTACTCTGTAGCTATGTCAGTTTGACAATAAAGAACCTTGAACCTTGAACCTTGAACTTGCAGCCGGGAGGAAAACCCCATCAATGCTTCTCAGTCTAGACGCTGAGAAGGCATTTGATAGATTACATTGGACATTTCTGCAGAGGACACATATGGGCTTTGGTCAGACCTTTATTAACTGGGTCAAAGTGTTTTATAATAACCCAAGATCGAGAGTTAGAGTCAATGGCCACTGCTCGGATTTCTTTGCGTTGGGAAGGGGGACGAGGCAGGGAGATGCGTTATCCCCAGCCCTGTTTGCCCTTAGTATTGAACCTCTCGCAGAACTAATCAGGAGTAATCCTCATATACAGGGAATGAAAGATGAGGATGGGAATCAACATAAGGTGGGTCTATACGCGGACGACATAATATTGTTTCTGGAAAATCCAGAGTCCTCTGTCCGGGCCCTCCTACAAAATCTGGAAGAATATGGCCTGGTATCTGGATATAAAATGAATCCCAAGCTAATTATAAAAAGATATTTGAGGTGTTTAAAACTGACGTAACTAGATGGGATGTGCTGCCGTTGTCACTTTTGGGTAGAATAGAGGCTGTAAAAATGAATTTATTACCCAGACTTTTGTTTTTGTTCCAATCTCTGCCTATTTGGGTCCCGGCATCTGCCTTCAATATGTTGGATAAGCTTACATCTAAATGTATATGGCAGAATAAGAGGCCGAGGGTGAGATATAAAACACTTACTCTTGGGAAGGACCAGGGCGGGCTCAGTCTTCCCAACATAAAGCACTACTTTTGGGCGGCGCAATTAACAGCAGTGTTAGCCTGGATTCGCAATGACACAGAGACAGGATGGGTTAGTATAGAGCAGAGCTCATTACCAGGGATACCTTTGCTACTCTGGGTTTCATGAGCCAACAGTCTCAAAAGAAAGTCAGAGTCCAAAACATATATGTGAAACACACCTTAAAAGTGTGGTCTGCGGTACAAAAGAGATTTAGGGGGACAGTTGCCCTCTCTCGAGCTATGCAAATTGCTGGAAATCTAGAATTCCTCCCCTCAATAGCGGACAGTACCTTTAAGAAGTGGGCAGACAGAGGTCTAAAGATTATTGACCAATTATTTTATGATCATATTTTGCAGCCATTTTCCTATCTCCAGGAGACGTTTCAGTTACCATCGTGTGACATGTTTAGGTATTTACAGATTAGGCATTACATTACAAAACATAGAGATTGGAACATAATCAAGAATTCCCCAACAAACATTGAAACATATTTTATCAATATAATTAGGCACAATAAACCGACTAAGAATCATGTTTCCCATATTTATAGGAACCTATTAATGGATTTACCGGATAACACCTTCCACATAAAAAATAAATGGGAGTTAGAGTTGAATATTATAATTGAAGATGGGGATTGGGAAACATTGTGTAAGGGCTGTCACAAAGGTATAAACAGTAATACGTGGAAGGAGTTTGACTGGAAGACAAAGACACGGTTCTTTAGGACACCCTTGATAATTTCCAAATGTGTAGACACCCCCACAGCAAAGTACTGCTGGAGGGAGTGCGGCCTGATTGGTGACCACTCACACATATTCTGGGACTGCCCAAAGATGGTCTCCTTCTGGCATGGGGTAAAGGAGGAGGTAGACAGAATGATGGGAATGTATCTACCGCTCAACCCTAGTCACTTTATACTTGATCTGGTTGCAGAGGATGTATGTAATAGAAACCAGAAGTACCTGTTGCATATACTCCTGATGACTGCTAGGAAAATGGTAACATTGAATTGGAGGAAACCACAACCACTACACTGGCACAATGGAAACTAAAATGAAAGGAGGTATATGGGATGGAGGCTCTGACTGCCCAATTACAATTAATGACAGACCTGTTTCAACAGAGGTGGTCTCCCCTAACCAGTTATTTCTCTGCCTGAGAAAAATCCCAGATCCTGTGATGTATGTGTGGTATTATTTTCAATATAACTACTACTCTATTGTCGTTTCTTATTTGTATTTTCCTTTCCCTGTTTTGATTTTCAAATGGATGTATAGGGTCTACATTTTCATTTTCATTTGATCTTTTCCATCATTTGCTGATATGTACTGTCTTTGGTATATATTGATACTGATGTGCTGTAAAGTGATATAAGGTGTTTGTGTTTTTTTCTTTCTTTGTTCAATAAAAATAAAGTTTAAAAAAAATCGTATTTCGTTTCTATTTAAGGAAATACATGTGGTTTAATCCACGGGGGTTTACAACTACAAAAATAATCGGTTTGTTTTTGTATCACATCCGACGGGAGGAAATGCAACCCGGCTCTCACTACCGATATTTAATCATA